CGGGAGCCTAAGGCTGGGGAGGAGCGGCTGGGGGAGCTGGGGGGGCTCAGCCTGGAGAAGAGGAGGCTGAGGGGAGCCCTCATCGCTCTCGGCAACGGCCTGAAAGGAGGCTGGAGCCGGGGGGGGCGGTCTCTTCTCCCCAGGAACAAGCGATGGGACGAGAGGGAACGGCCTCAAGCTGCGCCAGGGCAGGGTTGGGTTGGGTATTAGGGACAATTCCTCCCCCAAAGGGCTGTCAGGCCCTGGCCCAGGCTGCCCGGGGCAGGGGCTGAGTCCCCGTCCCTGGGGGGATTTAACAGCCGGGGAGATGTGGTGCTGAGGGCCATGGTTTAGTGGTGGCCTTGGCAGCACTGGGTGAACGGTTGGACTCGATGATCTTAAAGGTCTTTTCCAACCTAAACGATTCGATGATTCTAGGATCTTTACACCACCACGTACGCACGTGCTTTGTGCATCACCCATCCCAGCGACCAGATCGATGCACCCACCTCTGGGTGCTGATCAGGACCCAGCACAGCCGGCTCAGAGCAAGGCGGGAAAAGCGAGGCAGCTCTTGAGGTCTGGCTGATCACAGCGGTGCCTGCCGGCTTCACTAGAGCGAGCTACGGTTACACCCCGGACGGGGCTCCCGCCTCAGCCCCATCTCACCAAGACTTCACGGAAACTCCGGCAGAAAGGCCCCGGCCACCGCGGCCCCGGCCAGCGCACCCCTCCCAGGCTTCCCAAGCTGCCGCAGCCGAGACGCGTTGTCGGAGACCCCGAAGTTGGAGGAAGCGGACGCCCCCCCAGGAGCCGAGCGAGCTGCGGCCGCAGGTCTCACGCCACGTTTTCGGGCTTGTTTGTGTCGGGCTTGTTTCTGTAGGGCTCTCCCCACCCCTTCCCCTTCTCTTTGATCTCCTTCTCCTCCTCGCAGCGGGACAACAGGAGCCGTCACCTCAAACATCACCGGCGTTGCAGACCCCGTCTGGAAACGGAGCAGCGGAGCGAGAGCCTGTCCCCAGGGCCCCCGCTCGCTGCTATCTCCCCACGACCAGCTGCCTTTCGCGGCCCGTCAGAGGATTAAAACCGGCTCAAACACGCCCTGCTAATTCATCCTAACGCAGCTTTTTAATCAGCGCGGCAGGCGGTACCAAGTCACGGGCCTTGGAGACGTGCAGCCGCGCGGCATCACCACCACGGCTTTTATCAGCCTGCCCATGTCAAACTCTCACCTCCGCTGCCAAAAGCGGGTTTCCCAAAACGCTCCGGCTCCCGCCGAGCGCTGCCTGCCCTGCCGCAGGACCCACCTGAACCGGCAATCCTGCCCGGCCCGCACCGGCCGGGTTAGAAACCAGTGGGGACAGCGGGATACCCCGGCTCCGCGGGGATAACAGAAGTAAAGGCCACCCCTGGGCAAGAGCCGGGAGAGCGGCCAGCGCCACAAAGGAAACAGCGTCTTTTCGGGAAGAGCGAAGGATCGCGGCGCACCGCAGAGCGCCAGAGCAAAGCCTCCCTCTGCCTGATCGGTTCGACGACGGCACAACCCCAACCTCCTCCCGCTCACCGCCCATTCGCCCGCTGCCCGTCCTCCTCGGCCTTCGCAAAGGCAGGGAGCGTCACCCAGCAAACGCCGACGCTGCGCAAGAGCCGGGTGGTTTGAAAGCCAAACGACCCGCCGGGCAGAAGGCGTCCCTTGCTCCCAGCCGCTTTTTCGGGACCGAGAGCAGACGGCGCTGTCGGCACAGCCCTCCTCCACCGGTCGCCGCCGCATCAGCCAGAAATCTCTCCTTCCATTTCCACCCTCTCGTCTACCGTCTCGGGGTTCCGAGCGGGGAACGCGCGCGGGGATCATCCCCAGGCTGATCTCAGCTGCCAGACGGGTGCCGAGCGGGCCAGGGAGTCAGTCCGCGCTCCGCAGGCTCCGAACCCACGGGGCGGGAAGGGCCCCGAAGGGCTCCCTCACACCCTGCCAGCTGCCGGCGTCAGAGCCGCCCCTTCCCCGTCCTTACCACCGGGTCCTTCACGATGTCTAGCAGGCTGATGATATTGGGGCCTCCTCGGAGATTCTCCAGGATCTTAATCTCACGCTTGATCTTCTTCTTTTTCACAGGCTGATAAAACAGAAAACGAGAACCAGTTACCAGCAGGCAGACCTCTCCGGCAGGTCGGGCCGCAGGCACCGCGGGGGAAGGGCGAAGGAGCGCCTGGTCCGCCAGTCACGCAGCGGGAAGGGCGACGAGCGGGTGCATTCTCCAGGTCTGCGCGGCCCGCGGCCCACCCCGAGCAGGGCGGGCTCTGCCTCCCGAGGACGGTGGCTCTCCCCTGCCGGGGCACCCAGCGTCACCCGGCCCCACGCCAGCGCCGCGGAGGAACGGGGGGAGCGCGATTCCACGCCTCAGTCACCCAAATCGCCCTGCGGAACGGCACCCTGCGAGCTCGGCCGTCCAACAGCCCTCCGCTTCCAAAGGAGCGGCCTGTCCTGCGCTTGGGAGACCGCCGGGAGATTATTTTACGACAGAAGAAGGTTTTAAAGAGCGAGCTTAGTTTCTTCAAGTCCCAGGTTAAACCTTGGGCTGACGCTTTGGGAACAGCTACCCAAGGAAAGCGTAATCCCGACAAACAGCCCCAGCAGCCGAGCCCGTCCGTGTCTCCGACGCCTCAGTGCTGGCCCCGCACCGGTCCCCAGCCCGAGCCGCCCGGGGAAGTCCCCCAGGCTCGCAGAGCGAGCGCGGCGACAGCTCGGGATGCGCTCGGGGACACCGAGCTGAGCCTCTCTCCTGCCTCCGCGGACGGGATGCCCTTCCTGCCTTTCCGGCTAGCTTTCTGCTTTCTGCTCCCCCACCGCGGGCCGGGCGAGACACGGGGCGAATGCATCAACGAGGACATTTCTCGCCTTCTCACTCGTAACCCGTCCCACGCTTTTCTTAACGGGCCTTTCTGTTGCGCTCCGTAATGGCTGCGCTTCTTCCACCTTCACCGTTTCTCTTGCAAAGGCAACGTGCTTCAGACCGTCCCCGTGCTTTGTAATTACGCATCCTGCAGGCTGTAATTACACGCGGCTTGGTGACACCGCAGAAGTGAGCTCACTATTGCAAGCTGACGAGCCTAAATGCGGCCCGTGAGCCTAATGAGGATGAAATGGGAGAGGCAGGACTGCCGGCTGCCCATCCGTCGGGGCTCCGCGAGCTCGGGGAACCCCTCTGTACCCGTCCTCGTCCCCAGGGCGGGAATCGGCTCCGACGTACAGGCTGAGACATCGCGCGCCACAACGACCTTCCGTCGCAAGACGCTGCTCTGCTCATCCGGGAAAGATCTCTGGGCTCCTGTGTCCTTGCTCGGGCAGGGAGCTGCACCCCGCGAATCCAGCACGGGGATTTCATGGATCGAACAAGCCAGGTACCTGTGCTGAGCTGGTGAGACTGCGACCTGGGCTTTAGGGACCGGGCTGCCTTTGGGCCTGTTTCAGGTCACAACCTCTGCTTTGCTCGGGAAGAAGAGAAGCTCCTTGCCCTGCAGAGGGGCGATGGGCCCAGGCACTGGGTGAGGGGCAGCAGGGCTCAGGGCCGGGTCCTGCACTGGGGGCACAGCA